GGACTCACTGCTCTGTAATAGGTGCTCCAGAATCCCTGGAACTGCCTGACAACCAAAAAAGGCCCCATTGGCAGTAAAAGTAGATTACACAAGGCTGGGAGAAAGGCAGAAGCCACAAATGGTAAATTTAGTGGTCACTACAGATCAGCAGCACCTGCTGTGGGTCCAGGCAACCACCAGCTTCTGCACAGAGCCAAAGGTGCCTCACGTCCTGCTTCCAGATCATTTGGGAGGACTTTTCTCCCTCTTGTTCCCATTTCTCTACCACATCCAACATAATCACTCAGCCCAAGGAAGCCACTTATCTGCTTTGAAACTTCCAATATGAACAACTTACTTTGAAAGAGCACAGAAATTCTCCCCCAGATCATACCTCAGTGTCACCAAGCTCAGCTGGATGCCCTCAAGACATTAATCAGCCTTCTTCAAAAATTGCTAACGGCAAAAACTGTGATAAAATACAGAACACAGACTAAAACCATCACTCTAGTCCAAATAGAAAAAGGATGTTACTGACTTACATCACTGTCTTACCTGGAAATCAAATTGGGGTGATCTATAACTTATGAATAATTGTCTCTTGTTACAGGTCACCTGAATCACCCAGGGTCTACTCACAGTATTTAATTTTTTATTTTTACTTTCATTATATGCAGGTTTGGGATTTTAGGGGGTTTTTTGCAATCTTCCAAAGAAACTGAGCAACAGAACTCTGCATTTTCTAAAAGTAATGGGTTTAATGCCTAGTTAGCTGATTCAATACACACACTTAAATGAACACTAGGACTGTATTTTCCTATGGAAAAAGATGAAGCTGCATCATTTAAAGGATGTTGGAAAGAGGTGAAACATTAAGCTAATATACAAAAAGTGCTACGAGAAAGCTCAGCTGGTTCCTAACATATACTCAAACATATAAAATTAAATTAAAGATACTCAGACAAGATGTTAACCTGCCTCACAGACACACATGGGCTTCTCTACTGAAATCAAGACACAGTTTAAACACAGTCAGAATCTGTCAGAACATTTTTTGTGTCTTTTCCCGCTAATGCTAACCTTCTGATATTCCATAAGCTTTTTGCCTTTTGCTGGCCTAATGGCAGAGAGAGAAACAAAATGCTAACGCTTTTCTTTCTCCTATAAATTTGGTGATTTGACCTGTCAGACCAATTGTTATTCAAGACATTTCACTAATATCCTGGTAACTCCTCTCTCCCAAGACAGGCTCTGGGGAAACCAACCTCTTTTGCACCACGTACTGAGACTAGAGAGAGTTTTTCTTACTAGTGAGATTGATTGCCCAGTATTCTCAGACTACACAAGCTTTTATTTCTGAATGAGCTGGCTTATGGCATCCCCACCAGCTTACATCTCAATGTAACAGCTCTCACTGACTCAGGCTGCAGTTTGTGTGATTTTGTGTTCTATCAGTTATGAACTCCCATATTGCACACACAGGCAAATACACAATAAATGACTTAAGCTTTCTGAAGCCACCTTACAGGACATTTTCATAAACAAACACATTGTATGTTGCACAAGTTATTCAGATCAACTCTTCTTTGTTAGAGACATTCCAATGAGCTCCCAAAAGCAGAGACACTCTTTACTGTCTGTATTCTGCTTGTGACAAAGACAGCTTTGTTCCATCAGAAATGGCCTTGTCATGCATTAGAAGCCTATCTTGGTGTTTCTGGAGAGTTTCCATTAAACATTTTCTAAGTCAAAGTTCCTAGATAGAAGCTTTAAGCAATTTTGACAGAAGTATTTTTATCTGTTTATGTTCTTTACTCATCAAACTTCGTCTGAGCAACCAAAACCACTGATAACTACACTCATACTCAGATCTTATATTTTTAAGTAAAAGAAAGGCTGCTTAAAATATAGCATAATGGGACAGGTGCTCAATTTTATTACAATTATACAACAAAAGGATGGATATTGCTGCCTTGAAAGACCTTGAAAATGGGAAGCGATAGTTTGAAGATACCAAGAAAGAGGCTTCTGTTTCAAAATCACTTTCATTGTTTACACAAATGATAGCTGTAGATAGCCAGCACAGAGTTTTGTTATAGTTTAACAGTATTGCATAACTCAGGAAACAAAATATGTTTTCATTTAAGTTTAAAAAGGAGTTACGAATTCTGGTTTTACTCCAAGTTATAAAAAACCAAGTCCTTAAACCATTAGACTTTCCAGACAAGAAAGAATAAGATTATAATTTCAGGCTAGTGTGGTATTTTTCCATTCTTTTTTTTTTTCCTCTCCCACTTCCCTTGAAGACTATTAATCAAAACAGTTGTAAGAATTCCCCTAAAAATATTGCTCTCCCCACCCCCATCTCTGCTTTAAATATTTTAAGTGAGAAATATAAAAGTGGATTTAATGATTTGGAAGGCTTATTCAACATAGGGAAAAACCAAACACACACCTATTCACATAGCTATACGAGTATGGTCAGCTGTGTCTTAAAGAAACAATCCAAAGGAGAGGCCAAGTCTGCAAGCTAATTAAACTAATAAAGACAGCAATTACCCTCTAATACATGATGGTCCTGTGACATCAACATTTGTCTAGCAAAAACCAGGCTCACGATACTTTACTTTTACAATCCGCATTACATGTAAAGAGACGCCTTTAAAAAGTACTATTCTGTACAACATCTGGCAAAAGCCCTCAACCATAAGAAATAGAGGGAAACGAGAGGGAACAAGAGGACGGAGAAATGAAGGTATACTGACTAAGTCCACATGTACACCTATTATATAGCTCCTAAATTAAGCTCGTACTTGACACAATACATTAGATACTCTCACATATATGCCACATGGAACAAAATCTTATTACTGCATAAACTTCAGAAGACATGAAGTCAAACTGCTGCACAACAGATGTAAAATTCCACAGACTTTGTGGGGCTTCAGAGAAATAGAAGCCAAGAAAGGACATTACCATGACTGGGAACATGGAACTTGAGAAATTCCACAAAGGTAAATGTGGGTTTAGTGCTAAAGAATTCAGAACTTCACAATTTCTGTAAGAAGGAATCAAAGGGGACAAAAGAAAAGGAAACCAAAAAACAGCTGAAAAGATGGGAAAGACTGACTCCAGAGATATTCCTAGCCTGACAGATTCCTTATTCAACCATTAGCCCCATTCTGAAACAAGGCTATTATTTTTCTGTTCCACAGGTCGAGAGAGATAAAGTTGTACAGTGCTACCGTTAAGATCAATTGCTATCTTAACTAGGCCATGTGCATCCTTCAGCCATTGTGCTTGACATCAAACTGAAAATGAGGTATGAAGAAGCATAAACATTTTTTTTAGTTAGGTAGACCACTAATTCACCTGCTGATATTGCTATTAACCAGGCTAGGATAACCAACAAGTTATTACAAAGCACAGCCTCATTAAACAACTTTTTGAAATAGAGTTTGAAGTATTCGTAGCCCTGAAGCACACTGTAAGCGCACATACACGTGCATGTCTTGTGTTAAATAATTCCAGCAGTAATTATCAGCAATCCTAAACAGACTTTTCAGCCTTTGTATTGTATAAGAACTGCCAACATTTCCTTTTCATTAGGCACTATGTGTAGTGTGTCGGTTTTTCTGGTTAATGACTGCACTGAAAAAACTTACCCCAAAAAAAAAAAAAAAGCACAGCACAGCTGATCTTCCTTTTAACAGAAATAAAGTCTCTGGTGTCAGGTGCTATGGTGCACTGCACTGCTCATGAACAGCAAAATGCCTATGTTGTTTACATAAAAGATACCACAGTCACAGCGTATGCTGCACATTGAGTACTCGGAAGAAAGTAAACAGTGATTCAACTGATTAAGGAAAACACTGGCAAAAGTCAGTTCTTAAGGGCAAGTATGAAACTCTTGCTCAATTTTTAACAGTTCAATAAGGGCAGACTTAATTTGATGACTGTAAAGCCTAGGTATGAATGTTCAATGTATCGATGTTTAGCTTAGGAACTGTTTAGATTTGAAGGATGCTTATTTCTACTAAAATACCCTAAGTTCTTTCCTTCCCTACCAATTTTCAGAGAAACTAATATCGTGCCTACCCCATTAAACGTGAGCTCAAACATTGCGGCAAGGTGACTCTGTCAAACTCATGCGCCTGTCCACTGTAATTTGTATTTTCCATCTTCAAACTAGCATGACCATTTTGGAAGAAATGGTTACCAGCCTGAAACGGTTACTTGAGATTCCAACTTGCTTTTATGTTGAAACAGGTATTAAAATAATAACTGGACATCTCCAGTTCAGCCTACCTGTAAGCTCTCCTTACTAAATCAGTACAGCCAGGCAAGTAAACAACTGTTCAACTTTATAAATAGTATTCTGGCAAAAAAAGCTAAGATTTTTCCAAAGAAGAGCAAGATGCCTCAGAGAACAAGAGTGTAGGTAAGGCATAGCCTGAGTCTGTAAACACTACCATGTATCATAGATTGTACTAACCAAGCTCTACTATTCAAGGAGCTGCTGGTGAGATACATAAGGAAAATATAATCCAAACAGACAGGGGCTTACTCATATTACAAAACCAAATAAACCAAGCAAAATAAAACCATAGCTGTTTCTATTATATGAAATTATTCTTTAGCACTGCAGAGCACATATATTTTGGTGCTCTCAAAGAGCAGAGAATCAAATTCCATTCTAGTTTTTTTGTAAGCTGTAAATAAATTAAGGCTCTGCATATTAACATATGCAACATTTGACTTCTCATTCTTAAATTGTCAGGCCTAAATTTTTGCTGAATTTGCTACCTTGCAGCTGTTCCTTCATTTGTGGTAACACTAAAGACGCTATTTTGTCTACTTCATTAGTTAGTTCAAAGATATTTTCACCACCAGTAATCATCCCTCAGGTATAGTTAAGAAAATGTATTGTAAATAATTTAATTACTAAATTTTAAATTTAGGTTTCTAATTTTTAAAATGTCTGATTTTTTTAAAATGTGGAAATGCATTGTTACACTTACTTTTTGCTTGCTTCGTAAACATCTGTGATATTGGAGAAAAGGTGATGGCTCTCCGTTTTGGTCATTGTGAGGCTCAGTTCCCTGGAATTTTTAAACATCCGAATCAGAATCTCCAAGCTCAGCAAGTAAGAATGCTCAGAAGATATCACTTCAAATATCGCCTGCAAAGTGAAGGGGGAAAAGATAAAAACTTACTACTGACTAGACTTTTTTTTTTAATTTTAAAAAAAAGGAGAACATGGAGGAAGGGTGCAAAGAAAAGTTATTGGGTGTAAGCTAGAGATTATAACATAAATATTCATATCCGTGATAGTTGTATCATTTACTTAGAAGTGATTTAATACTAGAAAAAAAAAAAAAAGACTTTTTTAAGAATGCAACTGCAAACATTGTTTGAAGACAAAAAAAGAACTTAACACTACTCCCCATTCATGCTCCTGAGAGGACGGGTTCGGTTGGTTGGTTGTTTTTAATTAAAAAAAAAAAATCTGCTTCTATGGTCCAGCTGGAAGCTTCGTATCAGTCATACTACTGCTGACCTGTCAGTGTTTGCTTTTTAAACAGAGGCTGCTGAGTTACTTGAAAGCATTCTTGGGTAGCAGAACTCTGCTTACCCAAGCATTTGCAGAAAAGCAAAACCCTTTGCAAAATTCAGGTTTTAGTCACATAGCAGCAGCAGTATCTCAGTAGCTTTTAAAATATCCAGTCAGGAGCAGGCACACGAGAAGCTGAGCTATCTGCAGCAGGGACAGAAGCCTGAAGGCAGAGCAGACAGGAGGGGGTGGCAGCCACCATCCTCTTTAGCCCTCAGTGACCAGACAGACACCTCCAGTACCTTCCCTCACCCTCCACAAACAACTTCTCTGTTTTATCATCCTACCACTTGGAGAATAGGCACTGTAACTTCCATCAGCTGGCTGACGAACAAAGCAAACTTTTAATGGACTCTTGGACTTTGAAATCCACACACTTGTTCCATTGGAAGTTTTCACCTCTCATGTAGAAACCTATTCAGCTTTTAGGCATCTTTTATTCTGCTGGTGTTGATAAGGTAAGCTTTTGACCATATACAATTTCTCTTGGGTATCCTGAGTCTCAGTGTTCCTAGACTGTACTTTCAAAATTATTTTTGTCCATCTAAAAAAGTCTTCTTCAAAGAACTGAGATTTTAATAATGAAATAACAAGTTTGGATTTCTTAGAGCAAAATACAAAAAAGATATCTGCTTTAGCTGACGCCTTAAGGGTTTATGCAGTGCAAAGATGACTGCACTCCACAGTCATTATGCATACAAGGAAAAGAAGTCTAATGTATATATCAGTAGTCTCTCCATCACATTACCTACCTAAAAAGCTGAAGGGATCTGGTGAGAGAGAGAGCAGCAGCTAGGTAACAGCTACAACACACTACATGCTATTCACAAGAGTGAATACTGCTGTGCAAGAAGGTTATGCAAAGGTGATGCTTAAAATAATATCAAATTGCCTGTCTGCCAACTCTGTGAGCCTCGAGAACCTAGAGAACATATACAGACCTTGGCCAAACTGTGGCAGCAAATTTACCTACTGCTTGGCTACCAATGTGCAGAACAGTGCCTAACAAGAGCATTTTGGCCTTTGCCCAGCAATTAATTTCCAATCTTCAGTCTCGTTGTACTTCTCCCAGTTGTGCTCACAAAGAAAGGATTTACCTAAGAATTGCTGTAGAGTTCCATGGCTAATTGGTTTTTACCCAGGCATTGCTCAAACACAGGAAAATACACAAGCTCTCTTATTATTCTTGTTTTGGAGAGGTTTTGTTCATGCTTTTGTTGAGGACCCTCATGGACTTCTAGTTTGGTAACAGGTCATTCACATAGTCAGAAATAAATATGACAAAGAAAGATACTTTGCTTCTGATGCGTAAGGAATGGAGAGAATATCATCTTACCATGACCAAAACGCATTTTGGAGAATAAAAAATAAAAAAGGATTAAGAAACAATTGTTACTTGCACATACAGTAACTACACCACATTCCAAGGCTGGGTGGCATTTACCGGGTGCTTGCTAACAGTGGTTTTGAGTAACATCTGAAACCATATTGTGGTTCGTTTGCATATCAAGGTAAGCAGATGTTTGAATCCTGATGGACAATAAACACTCAAGAGGCCAAATGCATACTGCACTTTGTACACACGTACACAGTTAGAGTTTCCAGCTTGCAAGAAAAGAAGACCAAAATTATTTTAGTTCAAATCAGTCTGCATCTTTTGTTTAAAGAAAATTGTCATATAGTCAGAGAGACCCATCTCACTAACGTATTCTGAAAGACGGGATGCGTATGAATGCACAACATTGACATTTAATCAAGGCAGAAAGCAAACATCTATTTTTCTGCAGTGACAATATATTATAATGGCAAAAATAATCTATTAGACTCTAAAAAGCAATTTAAAGAATAGATAAAGAATCGATAAAAGGCAATTTAAAAGAAATACTGCAAACGCATGACTTGGTAGTACAACTACATCTTAAGAATATTTATTTAGGCTCCCTCTAATATTCAAATAAAAACCCCTCAGGCTTGAAAACATTTTTGGTAACATTAAAGACTTTACATTTAAAAGGCATCTAAAGAACTTGTTCTCTTTGAAGGGATGTAAATATGACTCCAGGAAACATAGACTAAAGGCTTCTAAAGGATATGACTGAAATAAATGCCTTGCGTCTCAAAGCTTCCCAGCAGGAGGAGACAGAAAAGCAGAACACATGGCCTGAACTGCTGCACAGCCTCTTCCCCAAAAGACGACAGCCAAAGAAATCTAGCATTATAAAAAAAAACACCAACAAACGATATTGTCTAAATCTCAGGTATGCAATACAAGATGTTTCTGTATTTCATGTATGAACACAACAGCTGTAGGTCACGCAGCAAAATTAATATTTGAGGCTTGCCATACACATCTGTGAACTTCACAGAAAACCCCAGTCAGGTCTCACTGGGCTACATTCACTGAGGTATGTCCTGAAGCAAAATGAAGATACTGGAACAAATTACCATTGCAGGTAATGCTACGGTGTTTCTATTCAAAAAACCTTGGGTCTTTTCCTATTGAAGGACATACCTCAAGAACTGCAGGTATAGAGTTGGCTAGGTCAGGCTATTCTTTTCAACACCTCTCATTCATTTTGATATAGCCCCTGTAAGTAAGGATGGAGGGTAAAGCAGATAAAGCGGACAAAAGGAGCAAAGAGGAAGGGGAAAGTGGATAAAGAGGACAAAAGGAGCAAAGGGGAAAGAGACAGAGAAAAGATAACTACATCAGTAATTGCTGCTGGTGTCAGCATGGATGCACCTACTCCATTTCAGCATGAAAGGAAAAAAGTTAGTTGCACCAGATACACAGCACTCGCGTGTTCAGAGTTGTTCACAGTATTAGTTACAACTAAGGGGCACTGTAAAAAGCTGTTGTTCGTTCCTCACTGCCTTTAACAACTTACGCACCACCTCCTACCCTCTGTGAAGGCAAGGTTAATTTTACGCCTTCCCCGGTACAGGACACAGCAATGACTGACTGCTGCTTCCAAGCAGCCCTCAACCAGGCTAGTTCTGCTGGAGTGAGCATACCTAGGAACCGCTCCACCAGCAAGACACGCAGGACGCTGGCAGGAGACCCATGGCAGGGACATGTGCACATCAGCAACAGACAGGGTTTGTTTATTTATTCTCCCTGGGGAGAGAGGATGCTTCACTCTAAGACAGGAAGCAGTGTGATGAACTTGACTCCTTATCAACAAGGAGAGAGTGTTAAATCAGGCATGCAGCGCATCCCTAAACAAGCAACAAAAAAGAATGTGTTACTTTAAAGAGTACCTCCTGTCTTTTTCTTTCTTCCTGGCTGATCGCTTCCGATAATCCGTTCTTCTTTACCTAAAAGACAAATAAATAAATTTTTAACATCTTTTGTAGAAAAATACAATTCAAAAAAAGAAAAAAAAAAACCCAAACCACAGAATTATCAAAACACTGGCCTAAGAATTCAGCTTTCACTTCAGAAAAACAGCAATGAACCATTGAAAATAAAAAACTAAGTCAATAATGTCTGACATCTGACTTATTGGAAGAACTAAATAATCTCATTAAAAACTATCCCAAGATACACACACAGAACTACTGCAGCAAAAGCACGCAGAGCTGAATCACAGTCACCCTGCACAACCTCCCTGGATTTTACACACACACAGAAGCATGAAAACTGTTTTCTCCTTTCAAGTTAGATTTCTCGACTGACCTACATACATCACAAGGTTCATTTTCTGAGTTGGCCTGAAAAATCTTAGTGTCTTTGTTAAACACACCGAAAGGCCTAGACAGCTACCTAGACAGGTAGTTTGTAGGCTAAAAATTTTTTCTGGAGGAGCTCCAGCTTTACCCTAAACAGACACAGCAAAGCCGAGTATTTCTATTCTCAGCTCTACAACGATGTCTCTCCCCACTCTGGACCCTACAGCCACATCAGCCAAGACAAGTTTGTCCCAGCTCTCCACACACACCCATCATGAACTCCAGCCAGAGCCACACTTCCCACAGCCTGAAGCCACACACTTAGCTACCAAATTCCATATCACAGACCCTGAACTTTACTCTTTCCTGGTGCAAATCACATATATTATGTCATTTAACAGGGGAACATTAATTAAAAAAAAAAAAGGCAAACCAGAAAGCAAAGCACCAGTGAGTGACTGCTGTCATGCATTTCATAGAGGAGCACTAAACACAGGACCCCACACCAGGAGGGCCACCTGTGTAGGGCATGGTATGGCAGGCTGGACCACAGCAGGGGCAAGTGGCCATGGCACTGCAGCAGGAGTGTGTCATGCAACACGAAGCCTAACGGATGCACTGCCATTCTCCCATTTCTCTTTCAGTCTTCTCCAAAAGCTCCTACCGTACTATCATCAACAGCTTTCTCTTCTTACTCCACTTGCTCCCTGGAATTTTAAAGGATACATTATTCCTCATTTTATTCCTGCATACCCCGCACCACAAACCTGGATAGCAGGCTCAAGAGTAAAGATGGCACAATGTTAAGAAGTCCCGCACTTTGGTTTGTGCACACGCCAAAGTACACACAGATGTGTATATACTTATAACATAAATAGTCCAGTGTGCAGGCAATTGTTCTTTTGAACACGTTACAGATTCCTACGTCACCACAAGCATACAGTTCTGAATACCAACCAAGAACTAATTAGACATCCTTCTATAAAACTATTAAAGTACCTTTCAATCAACAACCTGAAAGCTTTAAAGCACTCAGAAGGAAGTACAATGTCACTTTTTTCTGGATGCAGCGGAGGACTTTTCTAAAAATATGCCGACACAGGAAATACCTATGAAAAAGTGATTTCAATGCTTCCTGTTAATACAGCAACTGCAAATTTCCAGTGAGGTCAATGCGGCAACTGTTGTATTCATGTTCAAAAACTGTAGCTGTGTTTCATGATCATTATTTTATCATGTATGGGTGTGTACATACAAAGTACACATATAAATTCATCACACAAGCAAATGGCTCAACCTTATATTCTTAATCAGCAGCAACACTTCCAAAGAGAACGAAGCCCAAATACAGAGACTATTTTTGGCATACTCTGTGAAAGAAAATTCAATTCCTATTTTTGAGGTTTCCAAAATGTTTTGGCCAAAATAGCCTAAAAATTACATTTGTGATACTATGCAAACAAAAACTTAACGGAAGCTAAGAACATAACCAGAAAGAATGGAAGAGGCCCAACACTACAGCTACTGATATTGTCTTATTGTCACACTGGCATGCTTTATTTCAGCAACTCTGTTATGACTGACTCAACCATGGAGACAAGGAGGAAAGGATGGAAGAATGACAAGTTAACTCTGTGGTTATGTACAAGATGCTCCTTCAAAATAAAGAGGTGCTACAGAGGGGGAACTCACCAGAAATATTTCTTGGAGAAATACAGTAAGTGGCTGCACCGTAAACCAAACTGAACATAAGCCCTTTGATACTGGGAGACAAATGAGAGCTAACGCAGAGATAAGCCCTGAAGAACCTTGACAGTAAAACCAGTTTTTGTTTGACACCACAGAGAAGAGGCAGCCATAGGAAGGTGACGGTGCGAGTGGCTCGGTAAAGCAACTTGCTGCGGCGTTTTAAATGACTTTTAAAAATCACAACTGTGTCCCAAACTAGAGAAAGAGATGATGAGAAAAATGAAACACAAGATGAACAAAGCTTGGAAAGAGTTTTGGGTTACAGAGACAGCAGTTGAGAGAATGTGCAAAATCTTGATGCAGCACTACATAAATACTCCTTGAGCAGGGTTGGACAAGATGATCTCAAGAGGTCCCTTCCAACCTAACCAATGATTCTTTGCATGCACAATAATGCGCATTGTCATTACCCATACCAACTGAATGCTGCATTTGTTGGAAAGTAAATACCTTTAATATAGTGCACAAGTTAGTATCATTGCCTATGATCTGCTGGTAATTCTTCAAAAATATTAAAAGATATTGGAAATACCAGTTATTCTCCCTAAATTAAATTTTTAAATTAACAGATGAAGTTTGGAAGGAACAGAGATAAGCTAGCTCTTCACCTAGCCATCTGCTTAGCTACTGCTAGCTGTCTAATCTGTAACAGGAATCTAAAGAGGAAGAGGGTTCAAGAGAGGAATTTGAAAGGAACTGCATTCAAATAGCACTCCATTTCAGAGTATTTAAACATTCTCTGAAAAGCTCAATCTTAGTTTCACATGTGTGCATACACTGCAGGAAGACAGAAAACCCCCTTTTTTATTATTGTTATCATCAACTCCATACATGAAGGTTTCAGTACCCCCCTCAAATAGAAAGTCTGGTCAGAACTGCATCAGTCGTCAAGCCTGTGTGGCCAAAGAAACATCCTGCAGAAAGAGTGGATTCATTCTGCCATCTTTCCCCTTGATTTGCTAGCACAGTCACTCCTAACAAATGCCATAAACATACTATTCTCCTTCTTTCCTAACCTACGTTGAAACAAAATTTTGACATTTTCCAGCTGACTTCTTGTTACAATTCTATATTCGCTTCTTAATACACATTGACAGCATGTAATTTTTCCAGAGAGATATAAACACAGACACTATGAGATTCAGATTCCCATATTTTGGTTTCACAGTGCACTACCTTTTCCTATATACTCTCCACTTACAGCCTTGTAAATCAAGTAAAGACACTGAACAAGTTTGCCCTGCTAGAAATCATAAAGAACAAGTTGGTTTATATAACTGTAAGCACGGAATAAGAATGGTTCTCTTCCTGAGATGATCTTCATATTATTTTGGTCTCACAACAAATTAGTGTTTTTGAAATTATTCTTATCACTGAATAGCATTCCTTCCAAAATAACTCAGCTGTTGAACATTTAACTACTAGTTTGCCTAGAAGGCAGAACAAAAACCAATTTGACTTCATCATAAACAAATATTTTTGGAACATTATGCAAATTAACTACATTTAAAGTACTTGACTTGTTGAAAGAAAATTTAAAGCAAATCTTTTCAAAACCACATTGTCTTGCCTTCTTTATAATTATTGAATCAAAGAGGGATTCATATTTCAGTACTTTAAACTGCAAAAGGTCATCAACGTCTGTGAGACAGCTCCTCTAAACAATCTAAATAACCTTAGACTATCTTGCTGAGGCTTAACAACTAATTTATAGAGGATATAGACAGCCAATGGCCCCAGCTGTCAAATATTCTAGGTGATCATGTCATGTAATAACTACCCTTTCCCATGCCACTTATAGAGATGAGGCTCTACAACATTCTACAAGTTACACAAACAAAAACCAAAAAAAAAAACCCCAAACCCTTCCTTTTAAGGATATCCCTCCAGAAGCCACAGAAATGATCAAAGGATAAAATTAACCACAGAAACACAGACTTTTTACAGTTTCTTTAGTCTCAAAATCCTGCATAGTAGGAAGGCCTGTAGAAATATCAACTAGTATCATTAATTTGCCAATTTATTAGCAGGGATGCTAGTAAGATTACAGTACTGATTAAAACAGCTGAATCCTACTTTGTTTTACGATGCTAAGAAAAAAGTCACTGCACATGCTTTACAGACTGCACCAAGGATAGCACAATACCACCATCTGAATACTCAGCTCTTTTGAAATGGTTCCCATTAAATATATGTAGTCAAATCAACTTAGAGTTGGCTTGCAGCAATTTAGAACAATTCAGCAGAAACTTTTTTGTAACTAACTGAAGCTTTTCTTTAGTGTAATTCACCCTATTAGTTCATTCACACACACACTTTTTTCTCTTTTTTATTAAGAATCAGTAAAGTTGTGTCTTTGCCAAATACAGGACCCCAAAATGAACTCTCAATTGCATCGCTTTTTATGTAAAACAAAGACCAGTTATTGATCAGGACTTCCATGTTGTTCTTATGAAGTGAAAAACAAAGTTTAGCAAAAAAAAAAAAAAAAAACAAACCCAAACTAAATCCTATTTAAGGTTTGGTCCACACCATGCCAATTTATTGAAAGGAACTACAAAACACAGATTTTGCTCTGAGTTTCCGTGCTGTTAGGATTTAAATGTGTCTTTTCAAGCTTTTTGACAGTACCTCACTCAGAATAGCCACATACAGTAGCACACATCATCATAAGCCGTAACTCTCCCAAGGACCTGCATCAGTACAGCTGCCAACACCCTGTGCAGGCAAGGCCCATGCTGCCATCTCTACTGGTGGTGGGAAGTACAAAGTCAGGGTCTTCAATTGAATATGCAAACAAAACTTTTGAGGCATGCTTGATTTTTTTTCCCAGCATAGTTTAAAAAGAAAAAAAAAAAAAGATAGAAATGTATCATAGAGAGTAAAATTATGAAATATTAATTCCTTTGCATTTCAAAGTTGTATTTAATTTCATTGTAAACTACATTGAATTTTTTTTTCCTGGTAATTTCAAATCAGATACTCTATAACCAGCCTGTTGTGTGGTCACACGACCTCACAAACACTAGCTCTAGAAAATCAGGTAACCAGGGATTCTGGCAGGAGCATCAGTCTATACCTACTAAAATTGACTGAGAAAACTTGATTTATGCTTTCTTTAAGCTGTTGGGGAAAACCTCAACAAAAGCTAAATTGAGACCGCCAGATTTGGATCAGCAACATCTGAGCAGTTGCAAATTTGTCGATAAAAGAATATTCAGAGACACCTTATATTTTGGGAGGGACAAGGTGACGAACTTCAGCTGAAAACTCCAGTAGCAAGCAAAAATACTTGCTTCAGTACGTTCTTAGATACTCTGTCTTTGGCTATACATTGACCAAATACTCACAACAGACAGCTGACTCCATGTTGATCTCAGGGGCTTATAGCGAAAAACAACCTTTTCATCCGATTTCTGCTCTCGGGGCTCAGACTCTTCATCAGAATCTATGTCCAGAGCTTTTTCTTTATAGTTCTGATATAATACAGCGTTTTCTATAAAACAACAACAGTATGTCATTAATTGCTAGAAAGTTAGCTTAGTTGCTTTCATAAAAATTGTAAGTAACAGTTAAACAATGAAAGAAACCAAAATGTCACTGTGCCGTTCACAAACTCCTACAGACAAAGATAGTATCTCATTTAGGATGGACAATGGTGCAGTACAGTAACAATGGATCACTGTACCACTACCAAAAAGATCCACACTGACTGAATTAAAGAACAGATGTGTCCTTTGTCAAGAAAAAACAGAAAACAATTTTTTCTTCCTTGGTTTGCTGTACAATGTTTCATAACTAGCCAGCAATTTAAGATGGGACAAGCGTGTCAGTAGAACAGTCTCACCAATCTGGAGGTCTAGCTATTTTAATCTACAAGACCATTAGAAGTCCACTACCCATGCCAACTTTTATTCTGTCAGCTTTAAGTACAGTCTTTGCACTTCACTAAGAGAAGAAAATGACCCAAATTTCAGAAATTTGAGGTCAGAACTATTCCAAAGAGAAACTTCAAGGCTCACTTGAATAAGCATGAGGCCTACGAACCTTAAAACAAAATACACTCGTCATACATCTCAGTACTGTCAATACTAATACAGTACTATCAATGGCAAAGAAACACATGTGGAGCATACCCTCTCCATTTCCCAACCGCCTTGACCACAGACCCTTTTCAAAAGCAGACGGAAAAGGACACAGAAATCCAAGACCAGAAGAACCTACAGACAGATTAAGCTGTTAAGAAAGCAAGCTCTAAAAGATACTTTAGAGATGGGCTGGGCTTTGGACAGTATCCAATTTTCCCCTGCAAGAGAAAGGGGAAATACGTGAAAGGTCTGGCTGCTCAGTTGCGACTCCTGAGGTCTTATGCTGTGCTGGGTGGATCTGTTCCACCTGTTCAGACCATACAGCCCTGGCTGAGTATTATACAAGGTCTGGCCTTTTGTATTTGTTCTTTGGAATGTGTCTATATAGTTTATATGCTTTTAAGACAGGAAATTGTGTACAGTAACTGAATTCTGAGCGGCATTACAGAGAAAGTTATTAGTTGGGATCAGTCCAAGATAGAAGGGAGCCATTGGAAGAGAATCTAGAAAATGTCATCAGGTAATAGTGTAAGAAAAGATGAAAATAAGAGTAAGATGGGAGTGATGCAAATAGAATGAAGTGGGAAGTTTTGAAAATAGAAAAAAGAGGAAAAGGAAGGTAACACGGCAGCTGAGATGACCTTAAGGAGGCATTAAGCAGAGAAAAGCCAAGAGAGTAGCAGTTACTATAACGAAACTTCCATGGACTCATAGCCAGGAAAGAATTTTTTTCTTGTTGAAATACTGGGAAAAGCAGCAAACTTGGCAAAGCCCAGAATTAATGAGTAACATAAAAGAGCAGATACACAGACAGTGGTTTTTTGACACTTAAAGCCTGGGTAGCAGGAAAAGAAAAGCATTACAAAGTCAAGGAATTTACGCCAGCACCCTTGCCTTATGAGGAAGAGAGAGAAATAGCTGCATCAACCATAAACTTGGAGAATAACAATTCAGGCACCTGCTGCAGGAGCTGACCCAAAAACCCGTAAGCTGACCCACAAAAGCTACATCTTGCACCTGGGAAGAGTGGCAGGGAACAGGCAGGAAGGCAGTCCCAACCAGAGGAACAAGCCTTGCCTATGTAATTCTACAGAACTGTTGGTGCCAAGATAGACACATCCATCAGTTCATTTACTAGGAAGGACAGGAGTTTAAGTTGAAAAGAAGCCCTTCAAACAAAAAGCCATTTTTAACCTGCCATTCTATATTCTTTAAAATATTCCCTAAATTATGTCTAGTGTCAAAATTATGGTTCTGTATTGTAGTCAGTTTACTGAAAAACAAGGTACTTGGGTTTTGACTACGTGCAAAAGAAGCATGCAAAATGAAGTTAATTCCTCTTGTGATTGAGCATATTATCAAGTCTGTACAGAAAAGGGCTTACCTTCCCCATCAAACGTCCCTTGTCCTTTCAGCATTTTCTTCTGATAATTTTAACAGGAGAGAGACATACACACATTAAAAGAAGAATGTAAAATAACCAACAGTAACAAGAACTCCTATTTATTTGATACTTAGGCACCAAATTAACAGGCCCTAATCTATAAACTTCTGATGTTGGACAAGTATCATGAAAACAATTGCTTCATCACAGAAAGTGAAAACTTACTCTAGTTTTCCTTCTCTCGTGCACTGTTTGTACATATTTGTCCCAAATGCTTTATTTTCCCTATGTTTCAAAAGCACAGTATACTAGCTTTACAAGAGTTCAGTGAACTTGTAACTCATTCCCCTGTCACAGGGCTTTTCAACAAGGATATAAGGTACAGGACTGAGCAGCTGTCTCTTTCCACACACTCTGCAAAGAACCACCACATTAAGTATTTTATAAACTAACGTTTTGAGACCAAAACAAACCTCTGAAATAAAACAGCTGTTTTGGTGCAACAAGTTCTACGATCTAAGAAGTCTATTTAAAAAAATGCTACTAGCAAAGAGGGTTTTGTGTGTAAAGACAGGACAATGTCACATCCTGCTATTTTAAACACAAACTACTGTTAAAGTCTACTACCAAACCCAAACCAAAGCAAACCACCTCCCTGCTCAGCAGTAGTTCACAATTTGATCTATTACTATTTCACCACTTGTAGCATATTCACAGAAGCTTCCATAACCATAGTTTTTAATTTGGCTAAAAATTGTCATAAAGCTGATAATTATTTTAATAGCAACAGCATTAGCCCTCGGCTTGGAGTACTTTATTACACAATTCCAAACACTTAGCAGAAATCTACCAATATGTTTTTTAAAAAGTAACGAATTACACTTAAAAAGATGGAAATACAAGATTACAATATGGTATGTTCAAGTAAAAGAATATTTGCAGTAAGTCTTTATAATTTAATATATTAACATTCAGTATAAATCTACTACTCTTAATGGACTGCAATCAAGAATTAAAAGCAGACATTCTACTTTTGCTTGCGAGCATTAAAATTACACCACAAAAAGATACCTGAAGTGGCCTCTATCAATTTAAAAATCACAGTCTGATTTTAAAAAACACTTTAAAACTAATGTCTCAGAGGAGTAATGGAGGAAGCTCATTTTTCTGTCAGTCTATTTACTCTAGCAGGCAGACTTTATTAAGTCAATGCCTCTTTTTTTCCTGTTTACTCCTTTCTGGGAACCAGGTTTTAAAACATCAATTTGACTGTGAAAGAAAACCTCGAAGCGCTGGGGAACCCAGCAGGGAATGCATGAGGCTGCCATCAACAAAACACAGTCCTGAGCTGCCCAGGCTTCAACAGAATTGCGGCCCTGAAGCTTCTGCCACTTTACTTTGAAAGCAACACTGGTAACGACAAGTCCCACAGATCACTTAACTACCAAAAGTTTTGTGGTAGCAAAAAGCAAACTGAGAAAAACCCCATCATTTATGGAAAACACAAAAGACTGCAAATTACGCTTCTGTGTAGCCTACACCTATCAGCACAACTTACCTTTATCCTCCCCAGGCTCGAAAATTTCTCTTTATCTTCAACAACTGCTTTAAGTATGGGCTGGGACATTCTGTTTTTTTTCTTAAAATTAGAATTGTCGAAGTCCACGCCGCTCACCACCGCTCTGCGGTAGGACGTCGACCTCAGGCCGCGCCGCAGGGTCCCCGGGCTGTCCAGGTCACCCTCAGCCTCCTCCTCAGCATCAGCCACCAAAGGCACGCTGAGGCTCTCCACCATGCTGCGGACCTTCAGCACCCTCTTGCTTGTCTCTGCGTTCTGGCTGTTGGCTTTGCTGGTCACCTTTATTTCAGAAGCCAAACTCTTGGGAATGATCTGCTGCGTGCCCACCTTGAGAGCGGCAGGGCTGTTGGTGCTCAGGACCACGGGCTGCTGGTCCACGGGCTGCTCCTGAGCGGACGCAGGCCTCTGAAGAGCTATGCCTTGTGCTGGGGACATCGCCTGGCACACCGCGGGGGGCCCCAGCGGCACTTTTTCTGCTGTTTTGGAAACCTGGTTGCATTGCAAGGGCAGCGCTGCCGCGTTGCTGTTACTGGGAGAAGGCGCCTTTCCAGCAGGTGAGGGCTGAGGGCTGCCTGTAAAAACAATCCGCTCTTGCTGCGGTGTAAGCGCTGCCTGACTGGAAGTCCTCGGGGGATGACCCAGCCGGCTGCCCGGTGAGGTAATGGTGCCGTTGGCAGTAAAACCGACAGGACTGTTCGAAACCAGAGTGAGCGCCTGGGGGGACCGCTCAGGAGAGACGGCCTGGCAGGCTGGAGGCCGTACCTTCCCGTTGGACACCGATCCCATGCTGGAACTGAAAAACGAG